CTGAATTTGAAATCATTGTCGATTATTTCGAGATTGAGTCACTTCATACCCATTTCTGATTCGTTACGACAATTCGCGCTGTCCTCAACTTCGGTTATTCTTTCTATTCCACTCACAATATTTTCTTAATTTTTCGCAACTTTAAGCAATTCAAGAGATGACTTTCAACCTTTCGGAGCCTGAAGAATTTCAGCCCACGCTTCTTATTTTATTGGTAAGTTCAGCTGCACTTCAACTTTCCCATCAGGATGAAGAAATGAGGTAAACGGATGGCTGATGATAGTTATCATTACTTACCTTGCATTTGCGATGATATATTTTAATTTTAATTTCTTCCATAGTTCCTTTTCTTACCTTTCCTTATGTCGATGTAAGCAATAGTAATCCTTCTGAATCAGTTTCCAATCTTCCTGTCTGTCAGATTCACTTCCTTTTCTCTTCTTTCTGAATCAATTCCAGAAAAACGTAATCTTTCCGATCGGCCATCATCAAATCAATTCGACTTTTCTTCTTTCATTTTAAAGTGCATCTTCACGGATAAACGGATATGATTCTCACAAATCCACATCAATTCTCAATTGGTGAAGTTTTTAGGGAAGAATTTCAGTGCGTTACCCCGCGGGTCAATTATGACTCATTTAATTCTATTCAGCTTGACATTCTTGTTTGGTATCAAACAACAAACGATTCCGGTTTGAAATTATTCGATAGCAAGAATATTATTATTTTGTTGATCTTACTGTCGTCATTAATCGGTCATCATTACTATTGTTATTATTACTATTATTATTATTGAAATTTTGTAACATAATTAGTGATAAGATGATAGATTTTATAAGGTTTAGTATAATGCAGTACGATTTGTTGTTATCAATTGAAAGAAAATAACTAAACACAAATGAATCATCGTATGAAAGCCGTTGGAATGGACATATTCTTGCTAACATTGACACATATCTTTCTCATTTTTTATGAATGAGCTATGAAAATTTTCTACAAGAATTTTCTGGTAACAACCTACTTGACAACTTATAACAGGAAGTAATAGGAAGTATATGTGTGTGTGTATGTGTGTGTGTGTGTGTGTGTGTGTGTGTGTGTGTGTGTGTGTGTGTGTGTGTGTGTGTATTTTTATTTGTGATTAGAATATGAATGAAGAGAAACCGGTATTTTGCTGAGTTATTTGGGTGCGGAGGGGACAGCGCGGAGCGGCTGAAGAAGATGGCTGTCTCCAATAGCTTCAGTTTTCGTAGATTTTTCTCTCTCACCTGTATAATCAGAGAGCCATTGTCAGATGTTGTGCTCTTTAAAAATTCTTTAAAAAAAACCCCCTTTCCAAAGTTATTTTAGAATCCGGAAATCTGAAATGCTCAACTTGCAATTTTAACAATTTCTTTTTTCTAAACCTTTTAATTTTAAAATCTTTTTTTTTTTAATTTAATGATTGTATCGAGAAAATGCTAACGTAGAATTATCAATATTGACATTAAAATTTTTTTTGAAACTAAGCAGAAAAGCTAATAGGGGTTAGTGAATATTTATTTGAGCGAATATTTTTTTGTTTAAAAACTGATTCAAACTTTGAAATTCTTGTATTTACTAACGAAGTGGAATGCTTTTATTGCTAAAAATGAAAAAAACTAATTGGCAGTGTTGGAGAAGATAGCTAAACTTTTTAACCTTTCCCATCTTAAAAACTTTCAGATGACATATTTGTGTCTTCACTTTTCTCATTCCAGAATCACAATTGACTTCCATTTTACTATTTAATCAACATTCAATAAATATTGATTAAATTTCATTTCTATTACATTTTCAAGCAAAATGCAGCATTTTTGCGTTAATGGATGAATTAAATTTCGATTATAACTTTCATATCACTTGTTATACTTTATCACTTCTAGTGAACTGATACAATAGCCTCTCTTAGAAAAACATCACTTTCCTACGTTTTGTTCTATTTCATAGCTCATTTACAGTTTATGTTTCAAAATTGATATTCAGCATTATCAGTTCGAGTTCAAGGAATGCATTCATGCGATTCTTCGGGACTTTCTCTTCCTGACAGTATATTTCCAGGAATAACAGTACATGCTTATATGTTGGTATGTGGCAGTGTATTTTATAGTTCTCAGTTTGGAACAAAACACTCATTTGATAACGGAAACATCAATTGCAATCGATGAAAATGCAAAATTGGTAGTATTTGGTATGAGACATGGCAATCGTCATCCGGAAAAGTTTTTGAACGAGAATTCACGAACTTGGGGTTTTGAAGGGGTTAATGAATTAACGCAGGTCAGAATTATTCATTTCCCTTCAATTCTTTTTTATGATATGCTTATATTTCGGGCATGTAAATTTAGCATGCTGAATGACTTGGTTAAATTTAACAGTTGATTCAGATAAAATAACTTCAATTAGTACTTGAGTTGGAATGATTTGCATTTAAAACAAAATTATTTCACTAGCACAAATATACAGCATAAAAGTGCCCTATGAAAAAAGCTTATTATTCCAGTATTCAAGTGATTACCATTAATTAAACTGTATTTTTTTTAACAAAACTTTTTATTATTACAGTTTGGTAAGCGTGAAGGATTTGGTTTTGGCAAAGAACTTCGTGAATTTGTGGGTCCGTTAGTTGGTAATAATTACATGCGTCATGAGGTAGCATTCTATACCTCTAGCGTGAATCATTGTCAAATGACGCTACAGGTGCTAAACATGTAATTTTCATGACAAAATAAATTCTAAGACCTATCTGGAAATTTTGTATACAGCATACCAAATGATAACAGTCTATTTATTGCATCTTAACAGTAAATAAATTTTTCGATGATCTAACAATAGTCTGTATTGTTGTGTTGTTAAAAATTAAAAAGAATAATTGGATAATTGTTCCACTTCGACATTCTAAATTTCATGACAGCTTTTTTTAGGTCGTTATGGCAGGTTTCTATCCACCGGATACATTTGCCGAATGGAATCATGCCCTAGAATGGTCACCGGTACCATACACTATCGATGATCCAATGTTACGAATGTATTCTGTTCCGAATTGTAGTGTCGCTCAACAAGGTCATTTATCACTGATGAGCTCTTAATTTTAAGTGAAATTATAACATTTCCTCAAAGAGTAATTCTTTCTGTTTCTCTTGCAATTTATTTAAAATTGAATCATTCAAATAAAAAATTTGATAAAAGTAATTTGTAAATAGTGAACAAAAATTAAAATACATTTTGAATTAAGATAAAAGTAAAGATTTTTTCGAATCTATAATAGATTTGTATATCATCATTTTCATAAGACTTTATATGAAATATTATGGAAGGATTATCTTATCATCAAGTGATTGTATGCACGAATAATTTTGATATTCTCCGGAATTACAGAACGTAGCACTGAGAGATTTTTTATGTAAAATAAATATAATTGTTTAGCTTGGGAGCCAATTATTCATGATAATTTACCCGAATTAGTACAAATTATCGATGCAAATGGGCAATTGTTAGAATACATAACGACACATACAGGATGGAACAG